ATTGTGAGACTGGAAATGTGCCTTAAGCGAGCTATGGAAAACTGTGCCTGCATTTTTAGACATTGGCTATAGCTGTAATATGAAACAACACAGGAGTTCTCAAATTAAGATGATGTAACATGTCACATCAAGAAGAGTTTACAATCTGATGGCAAAGCAGTGGAATAATCTTTGTGGGCGGGTTAAAACCGCACAAGAGCGCCTTCTCCGTACAGTGATATTGCCCGGCATGTCGGGCTATCGTGCATGGGCTTTGATACCAGAATATTTGTGGTCATCATGCAGACGCTGATCACGACATGTTCTCGCCTTTTCCGTGTATGCGACAGCTCAGGTTTGAACCGAACTGACGTGCTCGTCGGCCTCAAGCCACCCGGCCACCCGTGCATCGATGTAGATTTACATTCTAACCACAGGGACTTGGCATGACCGGCCCGACTCCCGAAATGAGCACTTTTGATTTTAATAGCATAACGTTCATAACGCATTGGGGTTTATTTATCTATGTTTTGTGTGGCTTAGCGTATGTAAAGGGATATTACAACGGACTCAGACATATTTCGTTTCAGGTGACGATTTAGGCCGTTCCAAATTTCGTTTGTGACAGAAAAGGCACTACTTCACCGCTACCGCAGTCGTTTCACCACGGCTCGATCAGCTGACCGCCCCGGACCGCCGGCCGCCCCGCCTGGTTTACGTGCGGCTCCTGGCCGCGCGGGTCATTCCGTCGCTGGCTGCTGACAAACAGCGCCCTGGTGGGTCCAGAACTACATTCACTGGTCAGTTACGGCGCCTTACGGCCGGGAAACACACCGTAACTGGCTACTCCACCGGGTTTGAGAACCCCTCTGGGCCCCTGGGAACACGCGCCCGGGTGGACGGTTGAATACCCTTCGCTCGGGTGGGGGTCGATTTGAAACCGCTAAAAGATCTGAGAAACTAAGATAGCTAGAGAGACAAAATTTACAAGGTGCGTTGGTCTGTATGTGAGGTCACATATTTCAAAATTTGAGCTTCCTAGTTCATGAATTTGGGGTTAAATAAGGTAAAAAAGATCAAACTGCAGATTGGTGTCCAAAGTGCCCTTCCACCCCCTCACGCAACAGCCATAATGGAAGATACCTGTTCTGAGCAAAATGTCAGTGGTATCCATTCAAGGCCAATGACCTTTTTTACATTTAAAAAGTCAAGATGACCAAAAAGCTACACAATTGCGGGTTTTTCCATTGTTGTTGGCGTTAAGGATTACACCAGACGGTATATTCCTAAAATCAAAATGTTGTCCTGTTTGTTTTAGGTAAGTAAGCTAATCTGGCCTTTAAAAGCCCATGCAACATTTCTGATACCGTCTCTGTCATCAATCAATTTAAAATGAACACCAAAGACTACCCCTTTAAACAAGCCATCAAGAAAAAAGCAGATCAGTTTTGACCTCTGTCTGACCTTAATACCTGACCCCAGGTCCATGGGATTTGTTGTAATTTTAAATTCAGTCAGTGTATGGCGAAAATGTCTCAGAGATATGTGACTTCATCTAACGCCTCGTTGTCGCATCAGATTGAATGATTTCCAAGTAATGGCCTTTGCTGACAGCCAAGGCCCGACTCTGACCTGCCATAGGTCAGTGACCTGACGAGATGCATCTAATTTTGCATGCTAACAGATCCGGTATCTAATTGCCTACAGCTAAGCAAAGTTGTGCGTGGCTACGCCGCGCCTTTCAGAAATCATTCTGGAAAAACCTTCGGGGCGGGGGGGGGGGTGAAATTGACTCCCACTCGAGCGCGTGTTAAGGGCCCGAAAGGCCAGCTGTAGGACATATTCAGCGGCCCGGCCCGTAGGGCCGCACTCTTATGCCAAACAGAGCGCTCTGATCTTTGAGAGCTTTGATCAGGGGCCCACATAAAGAATCGTGGCCAGTAAGTTGCGACCTGAAATTTCAGCCAGATGTCCTCTTGGGCCCTTTGAAGACCCGCTGAGACGATGCGGGTGTCTACGTCGGCCAGAGACCACGAATACCGAAGAGTTGGCTCCCTGTCAGTCTAAACCCCAGGGGCCCATCTCACAAGCAGGAAGCAATGCCGGGGGCCACCATTAGCCTTGGTCTGGGTCCAGGAAACAATGGTTTGGGCCCCGATGTCAGTCAGAGACACACTTTGCCTACCAGGGGGTTACGTGTTGGTTAGTGGAACCAAATATCAAGAACCCAATTGGACCCGGCCGCCCCCCCCCCCCCCCCACAGACACTCGTAGTGCCGTGACCTGAAATGCCAGTCAGGAGGCTTCTATTACAGCACTCTTGTTAGGATTCTCTATCCCTATTAACTAAGGTCTCGATATGGAGCCAAACAGCCGTCTTCCTGTCTGTCTGAGCCCGTTTCCCAAGTGGGAACGAGGCCTGGGCCCGCGATTTACAATGTTCAGGGCCCTTGACACCATGAGAGGCTTCGGTGTCGGCCAGAGACCACAGTGCCGGCAGTGGTCTTGCGGCGGCGGGTGGCCCCGCGTCGGCCAGGAGCAGTGTTTGAGAGGGCCCGAAGAGGGACCTAAGGGTCTCTCGAGACCAAAGATGAAGGGTCCGACTGGACGGCTGGAGGACGCAGAGGCCTGCCTGTGGGTCACATTAAGGATCCCGCCCGTAAGGCCGTGATCTCAAATGCCAGTAAGAGGGCCTTTTGCGCTGATTGGGGACTCTTGTGACAGAGCGTTCCTCTATTTCGGCCACAGATCACCGACACCGAATAGTCGGCTTCGTCACAGTCTGAGCTCTGGGGGCCCATTTCCCAAGCAGGGGCAAGGTCGGGCCTGCAGTCTACATTGGTTGCACCCCTGCAACAATGCGGGCTCCTGTATCGTTCAGAGGCCCACAGGGCCCTAACAGGGTGTTCTGTGTCAACAAGGGGCCCGAGTCAGTCAGGATAAGATTTGCTCAACCGGGACCAGGACGGGCCCTGAATACCAGAGGACCTCTTCCGTTGGTCGAGGCCCTCTGACAAGTGAAGGAATCCTGAAAACTTATGATACGTGTTCACACTGAGACAGTAGTACGGTTCTGTGTCAGGCAAGGCCCTCAATACCGACCGGTAGGCCCTCGTCCATGTGATAATCATTGAACCACCTGCGGCGATAAGAGACGTTGTTGCGTCATTGAGGGTTCCTGAGTTGATCCGGGGCAAAATACGCGGGTGAGAAGGCCCCCGTGTCAGGAAGGGGAACGACGTAATATGATGCATCTCTTTAAGTGCCCCCGATCGACCGATGGATCTCATCCCGCCTCGCCAGAGTGTCAGCCGGAAGACACCCCGCGGTAGCACGAATTGACCCTTCAGCCCTTTACGGGAAACACTAATGTTCCCCGTAGTGTTCTACAAATAAGAGGTCTCATTAGTGCAGAACAAAATGGAATAGGATAGAGGCATGAGTTTAAGAACGAGCAAGGCCATTCCATGTTTGCCTGAGAACGCTCGATGTTTTGCAGAATTGACTAGTGAAACAAATTGCATAAAAAGGCTTGAGCTTGCGCGCCCGCAATCTCGGGAACAAGGACAGGCAGCTTCCGTAAAATCGAACGGCACTGACCACTGCAAGTGACACCAGGCAGCGGGCACCGTACGCGCGAGAACAACCGTCGCGAAATGATGATTACGAATGCCCTCCAAAATTGATTCCTACCTTTCAAAAATCCGTCTGGGCATAACTTCGAGGTTGTCCTCTGAACAGATCAGCAGTTACAGCAACACGAAATATAGAGATTCTACCTTCGCTCTTTCAGTTCCATCACCAGATTCCAGTACCACCTCGCGGTGCTGTAAAGGCCGATCCATTCTTACCGTCAGTCGAAGAATCACACATGTGAAACATAGGCCCACAATTTCTTCTAAATGTTGGATTTGATGTCCTTAAGCATTCAAAAGCACTTCTGTCAGAAGAATCACCATTTCCTTCCACCCATTAGCCGCAGCTCAGTATTAACCGCTGGACCGGCGCTGCGCGGCTGATGGAGACTGCAACGTAGCCTGGCGTAGACGCTTTTGTTGCCAATATTTGTGAGCGCGCGTGCTCAGAGCTACGTTACATAACTTTTAACATTAATCGATTCTGATTGAATGTTGAACATTTCCAGACAAAAATGGCGAACAAAAAATGAATAGCAACGGCCATTTTTTCATGGAGTCGTTTAAAGCAGCTGAATATATTAAAAACGCCTCTTCCTATATTTGGCTAATTGGCGTAATTGATCTTGCTGTAACCTCTGGCCTTTATTCCAGTGGTAGGGGAAATAATGAAAATATAAAAGCATGCCTTAATAAAGAAATGGACCATTTTCGGTGAATTCTTTGGTGGTTCTTTTACTACGAAGGGCACTTTCGTCAGCCTTGTACCCCCCTCTCCCATTGCCAAGGCTCTGGCTGCGCGCCTATTAAAAAGCACGCTAAGTCGTTTGCTGCTATGCACCGCCGCAAGGCTAATGCTCACGGCACTGGGTACAATTTCTTTGACAGTTACAGCGGCGGTGCATAGCGACAAACGACTTTAAGTCATTTGTTGCTTTGCGCCGCCGCAATGCTGAATCTCACGGCACCGGGTACAATTTTCCCTCACAGCTACAATTAACATGTTGCAGGATGTCATGCATCGGCCAAGGTGCTATCATTCCATTACTGCCACATGCCCTGTACATTTGACCTCAAACCAAGCTTGGGTCTCCGGCCGCATGGTTAGTTATTGATTGGCGGTGCACCAACCTATTGTCAATTATGATCTCAAGAATGGGTGCGTCGCTCACAACATACTGAACCTCAAGCCTTGAAGTTCAAGACAAAGGAACCGTTCTGACACGCCTTCTTTGTAAGCTAAATTGTTTCCGACATTCAAGAATGTGGGAACTGGCCTAGGGCAGTAGTTTTAGTCATCAGCGGATGAACCCTCATTTCGACTAGTCATTTATGACGCACTAATGTCATACTTGGTGCACAAGCTGCCAAGTACTATACGGGAGCTCCGCCTTGTGCGCTTGCCAACACTTCTTTAGCTTCCGAGATGGTGTCGAGTAGCGTGGTTGGTGTAACTGCTGCAGTGTCATTTTTATTGGGTATTTTTGTGGGGTATGAAATTAAAACATGGAGAATTGAGTGGCTGAAAAGAAGGCGAGAAAGGCTTGCAAGAAAGCTTGCCCATACTCAGCAGCAAATTGATAACCTTTCTGAAAGAGAAAGATATTGAATGGTAGGTTTTCGGCATGGAACATGGTTTTAACATAAAAAGTGTTTACTGGTAACAAACTTGATGGTACTGGTAATAGTGTTGAATAATAACAAACCCACTCTGCCACTGGTCGTGCTAAATAATAACGAGCCCACCCCGCCACCCACCCGCGGCAGGGTGGGTTTGAATCTCTTCAGGGCAATCCCTACCTGCCTTTGACAGGTATGGCCTGTGGCCAGTGGCAGTGGTCACCCTAAAGGTCAATTGACATCAGAGGGCAGGTGGACCATGCTGAGCATTGTGTCATGTTAAGCTTTCCCCACTTTATCTGCTGTTCCCTGGAATTGCACAATTGGGTGTTGGGGGTCAGGGCTCACACAACAAGCACTGCTTAGCATGAGCTCTGATCCCATAAATCCATCCATTCAAAGGGTTTGGTTCAAGTTTATTAAAAATATGTTTAGAACTTAGATCACGCATGATAAACATGCAGCCTTCATCATCAACCTTAAAATAACAAAATTATTTTGCTATGCACATGTCTGGCCATAAGCAATTGGGTGGAACTTAAGGGTTTTATCTGTCTTTACATGAACATATTTTACATGAATCATCTTTTTTAGAACAGAACACACTGCTTATAATAAAACATCAAAATGATGTGATCTTATCTTGTCAATATTACAATTATGGTCATGAGTCAAACTTCATGAATGTACCTGACATTACTTGAACATGTTGTGCATGGAGCATTTGGATTAGAGCAGAAAACACCATTCATAATCAAAAAACATTGGGATTACATCATCTTCCTTCATAAATATGATATTTTGGTTCTGATGATATCCTTAGTATAGGTTTTCCCTGCAAGACCAATGCCAAAAATATGGAATGACTTTTTTATAGCTATGGGCACAATACTCACCATCCTTGTGCAGCTATACAGTGATGTAAATCATTTGAGTCCTTCAGCAGGTGTAAACAGTAATAAGTACACATGTTTTAGAACCAGGAATGAGGATAATGTGATGAATGGATAAATGAATGTACACACCATGTTACATCTTTCAAATCATTGCTAGGATCACCAAAACATCAAAACAAATAGGTCACAGGAGTAATACAGTGTAATGCAACATTGTGATGCCACACTGAAAGTGAAGAACTTGGTGATAGACCAGCCTAGCAAAATGAGAAAAAAGACAAACCGTTGTCAGTACACATTGGTACCAATGTTAAAAAAGAGCATTGTACATCACCCGTCATGTTTAAGGCGGAACATATAGTAAATAATCACGAAACAGGTAGGTTCATGCTCCTACCCTCGAATTTTAATCATTATGATAGCGAGCTCCCGAGCGCCGCACACGCCCGACCGCCTCGACCCCCCTCCCTCCCCGTAGCGCCGTTTCTGCGTTTTCGTCGCGTGGTCACAATATTACTGCTTATCAAGAACTATAAAAATGTACGTGGCCAAGGTAACAATAGTAACGCAATGAAATACGTTTCTTATCTTATCGCGTATAGGTACGTTTATGAAACAGACAGGCCAAAATAGTCCAGAACATAGCCTAAACTAGCCTAACCTTACCCAACCTAATGTAACCTAACCTAACCTAACCCAACCTAGTCTAGCAGCGTGGCCTAGCCTAGCCTAGCCTAGCCTAGCCTAGCCTAGCCTAGCCTAGCCTAGCTTAGCCTAGCCTAGCCTAGCGTAGCCCAATCTAGCCTAATCTAACCTAGCCTAGCCTAGCCTAGCTTAGCTTAGCTTAGCCTAGCCTAGCCTAGCCTAGCCTAGCCTAGCCTAGCCTAGCCTAGCCTAGCCTAGCCTAGCCTAGCCTAGCCTAGCCTAGCCTAGCCTGGCCTGGCCTAGCCTAACCTAACCTAACCTAACCTAACCTAACCTAACCTAACCTAACCTTATCTAACCTAACCAAACCTAACTTAACCTAACCCAGCCTAACCGAACCTCCCCACCCTATCCCCTTCAACCGTGTCTTGTTGGCGTCCATGTTCCATGCCATATATATAATATATATATATATATATATATATATATATATATATATATATGTATATATTTATGTATATATATGTATATTTGTATATATTTATGTATATATATATATATATATATCACTGGAATCTGGTGATATCTATATATATATGTATATATATATATATAGATATAGATATAGATATAGATATAGATATAGATAGATAGATAGATAGATAGATAGATAGATAGATAGATAGATAGATAGATATAGATATAGATATAGATATAGATATATAGATATATAGATATATAGATATATAGATATATATATATATATATATATTATATATATATATATACCGTATTAAAAAGTTTTGTGTAGCCGCCATGTTCTCATTTTGCTTTTCATTCCCCACCCAAAGACGTCATATTTGCCCCCATGTCGACCAGGCTGGAAACAGTACGGAAAACTGCTTGGACACTCAAGAAACATATTTTACTGCATTCTTGTTAACTTGGCCCCGTACATTTTTATGGTCCTTAATGCGCAGTAATGTTGCGAGCATGCGTGGTAATGGCGCCGGGGTCGCGGTTGCTGCGTGTTTGCAGCGCTCGGACGTTCGCTATCGTACTCATATAAGTTCCAAGGTAAGAGTTTAGATGACTTGTTTTATGATTATTCACGATATTTGCGGTGTAGGTGTAAATTGGTACCTAATGTTAGAAAAATATTGTACATCATTCGTCGTGTTTAAGGCGGAACATATCGTAAATAATCATAAAACAGGTAGATTCATGCTCCTACGTTCGAATTTAATAACTAAGATAGCGAGCTCCTGAGCGCCGCACATACTCCACCGCCTCGACTCCCTAGCGCCGTTTCTGCGTTATTGTTGCAATAACGTGGTTACAATATTTCTGCTTATCAAGAACCATGGACAATTTGCGGGGGCAAGGTAACAACAATAATGCAATGAAATACGTTTCTTATCGCGTGTAGGTACGTTTGTGGAACGGACAGGCCAGAATAGTCCAGAACATGGCCTAAACTAGCCTGATCTAACCTAACCTAACCTAACCTAACCTAACCTAACCTAACCTAACCTAACCTAACCTAACCTAACCTAACCTAACCTAACCTAACCTAACCTAACCTAACCTAACTTAACCTAACATAACGTAACCTAACCTAGCCTAACCTCCCCACCCAATCCCCTTCAACCCAGTGTCCCATTGGCATCCATGTTCCATGCCATATATATATATATATATATATATATATATATATATATATATATATATATATATATATATATATATATACACCGTATTAAGAAGTTTTGTTTAGCCGCCATATTCCCATTTTGGTTTTCATTCCCCTACGAAAGACGTTTGCCCACGATGTCGACCAATCTACAAACAGCACGGAAGACTGCTTGGATACGCAAGAAACATATTTCGTTGAATTCTGGTTACCTTGGCCCCGTACATTGTTATGGTTGTTGATGCGCAGTAATGTTATGATTATGCGTAGCAATGGCGCCGGGGCCGCGGTCGCTGCGTGTTTGCGGCGCTCGGATGGTAGCGATCGTAGATATTTAAGTTCTAAGGTAAGAGCTTAGATGACCTGTTAACGATTAATTACGATATGTTTTGCCTTAAAAACGACGATTGACGTGCAGTGGTCTTTTTTAACATAAGGTAGGAATGTATACCATGACCTTAAGTTAACCGTACCAAATTAAGCTTCTTACTCTATGATTGAGACTTGACAGTTTTTAAGTACCATTGGCAACCATTCATCGATGGGCAAAACACTGTTTCAGTTGTTCATTTCTAGCTTTTTCGTGATGGTCTCCACTGGTTACCGTGTGTTCTAATAGACCCGTTCGACTAGGATATGCAAGGCTGTCTTTGGCTGTACACTTGCCCATGGACAGGGGTGTGGAGTGAGTGTCGGAGAGTGTGTAGTACTGGCAAATATGTGCTCAAGGCTTACAATGTTTACCTTCGCCAGACTCACTAGAAAGATTGGTGCGAGCAAGGTCGTCTGTAGCCTAACTGCCGTTCAAGCAGTTAGAAATCTGCTACACCATGTATGACCTGTACCAATGTTTGCAGCCTTCTCAGCCAAGGAGAACACCAGCAATGCTGGAGGAGCTCAGCAGACTTCCACAGAATTTAGTGACATTGCATACCTGAGTACCCGGATTAAATGGGTGCCCAGAAGTGACTGGCATGGATAGCCTTGCATTTGTCATTTTGTCACACTACTTAAATGCAAGAATGGGGCTGGAAGAGGTGCAGAGTTGCATCTTCACATAGAAAAGCAGCTGGGAGGCATCGCATTCTGTGCCTTCTGGCTGTCAACGGTTCGCCGCTGCAGTCCTGCGCCGGCCATGTGTCTGTCGGTTGGGCTGTTCCTGCCAGACATAGTGGAAGAGCCTGCGAATGCGTCTGTCACCTGACAATGTGTGTTGCTGAGTGACCATGTTCAGCGGGGTGAACTGGATATGATCGTCCGAAGAAGACTAAAATATTGATGTGCACGTGTGATAAGCGTTCCAGTTGGATGTTAGTGATTTCACATTACAGACAACAGAAATGAGCTGTGACTTGAAGTGCAACGCAAAAAATCCGGCTGTAGGCCGCAACCAATGTTTCCATCTGTCCTGAGTTTCAACCATTATTTTACCTAGACTCCGGTCTGGTCAAGGGATGCCGAATGAATGCATGTTGTTTGTTGTAATATGCGCAATACATTTTGGGAGTGACATTTGAACACTGCAGTTTGTCGCCGTCCTTTCCGTATGTTGTTCACAAGCTGATGTACGGCGCTGAGGCATGCTTAACGAATGTACAAGGCAGAAGCATTCCGTGATTGTGCAGTTCGACGTTAACAGCTGCGTCAGTTCCCTTTTCGAAGGAAGATGACAGCATAGGTGCTAGAACTGGGCTGGGTCATGGCTGAACTAGGGAACTGAGTCATGGCGCGCTCGCCGTTTGTGAACGTTAAATATGGACCCATTAGAGATCCATGGCAAGTAAGTTTCTTCTAGGGTTTGGTACACCCATTTCTTGGCACGGGGGTTGGGGGGCGTTTCCGCAGGTGACACCGTTGACGCGGTGGGGCTCGATTTTTGTAGATAGTCGACTCAACACCGTACCGAACACTCCGGTCCCAAAGTCAAGTGTAGGTGTACCAAATCAGTTGGGGGCAGCCTAGGATGTTCTTTTTAGAGGGGGAGTGGTCATTTCAAGATACTGCTGGTCACACGACGTCCTTTCAGTAAGAGCAATGAAGTACCAGTATAAAGGCGATAGCATAGATATGCATGCTAAAACGACCATGTTGAACATGTTAAAGGAAAGGAAACGCAGATGAGGTTGGCGAATTTGTCCTCTGATGGCTCATGGTAGTTGCATCGCCAGTCTTTCAATTGTTATGCATTGCTGGCAAACTACACATCGATGGACAAAAAAAGATATGGAAAGCCGAGATATGGCTGTAAATGTACACTAGTCCGATATGTATACTAGTGAGATATGTTTGCAAAGGTATACTAAACTACACACGCAAAGGATTCTTTTGTATGTATACTGTTCAGTGATTACCAGTGCAAGCCGGACCAGTGTGGGCCGCGCGGGCACCTCCACCGGGAAGCGCGCGTGCGGTGGCAGTGCGAGGACTGGCGCCTGGCCGGCGCTGGGGCGAGGAACTGATGAGGTCTCGTAGAGTTTTCTCGGGATCTCTGTGTAAAGGCAGTGCGGAAGTAATGAACGTAGGAGCATAGAACGTGTAGAGATGCAGAACTATGAATATTTTCCCTGCCATTGAAGATAAGGTGAGTGACGGGACGACACTGATAACGACAGAACTGGACATGCTGTCCTCCAAAATGCACCGGGTACAGGGGCGCACCTCAGCGAAGAGTAAACTGATGACGGACACCGCCGTAAAGAGCCAATGGAAGAAGCGAGTTCGAAAACGGGCAGTAGCCTGATGGCGTTTGCCAATCGTCATTTAAAAGACGTTCACGTATGTCGCGAGCTTCTGTTGACTCTCGTTGGTTGTCACGTAGCGATATGGCCACATCAGTTTAAGTTATCGAAAACGAAATATCAAAAACGGGCCCTTTCTGAGTCTAGGATGAACCTTTCCTGATCGGAAATGGGTCATCTCCAGGCCTTAACCTAATGGGCGTTTCTTATCCGGAAATGGGCCCTTTTCAGGCCCGAGACGGGCTCATCATGCGTTGAAGGCGGAGCGCAGGCCGGGTGTGGAAGGGGGGGGGGGAGCACCGGGATCTCCCCTTTGTTCCAGACAGGCCCATGAAGCTCCTCAGGACAGACGGTCAAGGGCCAAACTAGTGGGGCCCGAAATGTTGGCCAGAGGCTGTGGCAAGGGGCCCCGGTTCGCAAATGTCCATCAGAGGGCCTTTTGCGCCGATTTGAAGCCTCTGGGGGCAGATAGGGCTCGCCAGTCCATCCACGACGGCGAAGTTCGAACAGTCTGCCCCGTGGCGACCTGGGGCCTGTCTCCAAAGCTGAAACCCTCCTGGGGCCCGCAAATGTCAGTCAGAGGGCCTTTTGCGTTGGTCGAAGTCCCGAGACAATGACGGGTCGCTGTGTTGGTCGGGGGTGAGGGGAGGGGAGGCGGGGCGGCCACAGTACGCCTAACAAGCGGCCCTATATCGGCAAGGGCCCCCAATCGGCCATAGTTATATTTTCTGAATACGGACAGGAGCGTGACTCCGAATGTCAGGGAGCATCTTAAGTTGACCGGGCCCTTTGATAATGAAAGGAGATAGGATAAATGATAATGAAAGGGTCCATAGTAAAACACTGAAAGGGCTCTATGTCAGACACGAGCCCAGTAACGGACGTGGCCCCGGGCCTCCATACCATTTCGGTTAAGGGTCCGATAAACCGAACTGGAGTCATCTGCCAATTAGTGGACCACCTATGTTGGTAAGCGATCCTTAGGCATCACTGAAGCCCCTGCGTCGATCCTGGATCAACTGCTACAGTCTGAGGGCATTCAGGTCCAGGCAGGGGACAGGGATGCATGATGCATCCCTCTTCGGCCCTCCTGATCAATCAGGAGTCCCCGACCACCGTATCTCTAGAATGGTAGCCGGCAAGCATCCCGGGTGGCGGGTTCGAACGGAAATCTCCTTCAACCCCTGACCGGGAGAAACAGTAGGGCCCCTTGTGGTCTACTTACGGGGCTCCCTGTCGCAAAAGGCGTCTACTTAGTGCTCAATCCACCGGGCCTCTTAGTGCACGCGTTCGTCGGCGTGATGATAAATGCAGAATGCTGGGCCCCTCAAAAATAAAATGGACCCAGGCTGGTGATTTTTCGGGGTGTCTTTTCACCGGGAGCTTTCTATCAAGCTGCGTGCTGCCCACACCCCTTCTTACCAAAGCTTCGGCCTCTCTCCTGGTATAAGATCAGCATAAAATGTCATTTCATGATTTAAGAAGGGCGTACAAAAGTGTACGATGGGCCCTCTCCAGACTTAAGAGGGTCATTTCTGTGCTCACAATAGCCCCGCCCAGACCTGAGACGGACTTCTTCTAGATTTGCGATGGTCCTGTCCTAATCGGAGAAGGACCCTTTTGAGTCTATAATACGCCCTTTCCAGACCGGAAAGGGCCCTTCCCGTGCCTGAAATCAAAACCTTCAAATTGACCTTTACCGGACCTGAGATGTTTTCTCTACGCCTACTTTGATAACCAAAAAAAGGAATATTTTCCACAAATATGCCAGCAGCCCCATTCGGGCCACCTGAGATCTGGAAGAAAAGATGACTTTGACGCTAACCTGATACATGGGGGACAGTTTGCATCGCGGATACACAACCACTGGCTTTCTGAGCCTACGATGAGCCCATTCCAGGCTAGAGATAGTCCTTCCTAGGCCTAAATAGTGAGATAGGCCTTTTCCGATGCTTAAGTTGTCCGGTTCTCAGCCGACGCTGGGTCCCTACCTGAATTTAGACGAGCCGTTTGTGAGTTTATGATGGACCCTTTCCAGGCTTGAGAGAGCCCTTTTCCCGACATGAGACGGGCTCTTTTTAAGCTTGCGATGAGCTGTTTCCAGACCAGAAATGGATTCTACCGTGCCTGAAAGTGACATGAGTGTTTTCTATCTTGAAATGGGCCATTTCCAGCCTAAGATGCGCCCTTCGCGAACACGAAACGATTCCTTCTGAGCTTGAGATGGACCCTGTCCAGGCCAGAAATGGGCCCTATACGGTGGCTTTGGTAACACAATAAGCAAGCACTATCACATACTCGTGGACCCCTTCTGGGTCACCTGAAATTATCAGAGGGGGCAAAAATACTTTCGCCCGCCCCTAAAAATATAGAGCGGGACAATTTGTCCACGCTGCCTGCCCCCATCGCGGATACGCCGCCACTGGTTACGATCTTATTCACAACTGATCCAACAATGCCACTAAGGCTTTCACTCGACAGAGACCAAATTTCAGCGAAATCTGAGCGCTAGCGGTGCATAGTTATTACCTGCCTGGTCGATCTGTCCTGGGACACTTCCCACAGAGGCATTATCGATGCAACTTTGTCACTAGGAGACCAATGGTTACGACGTTTTGCAAACATCTTTTTGTCAAACAGACTTTATCCGCTAAGCAAATACGCACGTACAGTTATTTACGAACAGTTGAATGTGTCCTTCATACCTATACAACGTTTCCAGGTGAAAATTTGTCCTAACGAACCTTTGGCAATACGAATGCCTTACATACGAACTTTAAAGCATGCAAAAATCTCCTTACAAAGTCGTCTGCTGCTCCGTTGACATGGCACAATGGTTCCATTCGTTCCGTTCTTCACAAATGAGGGCAGAAAACAATTGTGTTTGACTGGGGCTGATCTCACATGCTCTGAACTGTGGCAGTCGGAATGGCGCACGAAAATATGCCGGTAGGGTAGGGCGGACCAGCTCGGGCTGTTAAGCGTGGGTCGGCTAAGGCAGACAACCGCGGCCGGGCTGCCCCGTTGGGAAAGCGTGCGGAGCAGCACGTGCTTATTTCTGCCCCTTTTCAAAAACATACCTTAAACTATTCGTGAAGTTTAATAAGGACCTGGACAGAGAGCACATACGTGCTTTCTACGTACTACGTCGCGAATAATATCGGCAACTGTGTTTCCGCCGAACACTTGTGAAGGTGGGGTTTAAGTCGAACAGTGTTCCTCTGCCAGACACCAACGTCGACGTTGCGTCAACTTGACGCTAGCCTCCCCACTCTCAACCACGCAGAGAGAGAAAGAGGAGAGAAGAGAGAGAGAGAGGAGGAGCGAGAGAGAGAGAGAGAGAGAGAGAGAGAGAGACGAAG